TTAAATCTGAGAACGCTGTGTTAACTGCACTACAAAGGGTTAAATTAATTTCACCGTAAGATTGCGCTCAAGCAAACATGCGTTGTAGTGACAGAGGTTCCAATGCAACAGTCAAAGCTCTCCATACGCACTCCCCAAGCTTTCCAGCAGAATACATACACTCTATATAAGAAAAATATGTTTTTTCAAAAATCCAATTTGCAGTAGCTTGACTCTCGGGGTTACAATGACATGTGCACTGCGGGCATATTTGCTAGAGCGTTTCATGGATTCAATTAGTTCATCGGTGAGGCACAAGAACCGTTTCTCTCCAGGCAACCATTTTGATTGAATATTTATAGATTTGCAATGTAATGAGATCTGTAGAATGCTGACGTACCTTTTCTTCTGAATGCAACATGAAACTTAGTATGAGATACAGCCATGGTGACTGTTCGATAAAGCAAGGCTAACCCCATCTCTATTCCTGAGAGCTTGTTCAAATGCTCACTGTAAAGTGCTTTTTAAGGTAACCCAAAAACTGCTTTGCATGATAATACTGAAATTAAATCAAAGTTATACCCAGTCTGCAACCCATTTTACTACTGCAATCTGATGTATTTGGTGATGTTCCAGGTCCCTTCAGTCTGGGGCTTTAACAACAAACCAGTTGTACAGCTGACAAGTTGTACCTCTTTCCAAAGGAATTTCAGTAGACAAAAACTCCATAAAAAAGTTTTGAAAGATATACAGTAGAACCTTTGTACAGCACATGCTATTGTATAGATTGTAAGTCTATTTTGAATATGCTGTAAACCCTGGAAAAAGGAATAGTTCACCCAAAAATGAAAATTTGCTGAATATTAAAGGCCATCCACGATGTATAAGAGTTTGTTTCTTCATCTTCCTCTGCAGGGAATGGGTGCGATCAGAATTAGAGTCGGATTCCATAATCCACAAGTAATCCACATGATACCAGGTCATCTTGAGAAGCAAAGAGCTGCATGCTTGTAATAAATAAATACATGTCTGTTTTGGCATCTCTTTTGGCCAAAATAAAGAGTCCTCTATCCATACTGTAATATTTTCTCCAGTGAAAAAGTCAATTCATTTGAATCAGGAGAGAAAAAATGTCAATTTTCACTGGAGGAAGAGTTATTATGGATCATGGACTCATATTTTGGCCATTTGAATTTAAAATACCTTAATGATGGATTTGTTTCTTATAAACACTCAGCTTTTCACTTCACAAGACATTCATTGATGGACTGGAGTGGTGAGGAGTTCTTGTGGATTATTGTGATGTTTTTATCAGCTGTTTGGACTCTCATTCTGACGGCACCCATTCACTGCAGAGGATCCATTGGTGAGCAAGTGATGTAATGCTATACATCTTCTCCAAATCTGTTCTGATGAAGAAACAAACTCATCTACATCTTGGATGGCCTGAAGGTGAGTACATTTTCAGCAAAGTTTAATTTTTTGGTGATCTACTCCTGTTTTGTGTCTCATGTGGTTAACATACCCAGATGACCTACTACTACTGATATTCTGGAGTACATGTGTGATGGACACTTTAATATCTCATGAAGCCGAGGGACAGAGACAGGTCACAAGATAGTGACAACATGGTGGATGTAGTACATCCATTGCATTCATACTATATAGAACATACAGTCTTGGAGACGTTTCAAACCAAATGTTGCTCCTACAAGACAAAATGAATGTAATTTTCTCTTTATGTTATACATACAGCAGCTATACATCTAACAAAGATTGCCGCCTTGTTGTCACATCTAGCTAATGAAATATTTGCTATTAACCTATTTCGAAACACATTTAAGCTACATATTAAAATGTTTCCATGCTTGACAAAAATCTAACAAAACACACCAAAATTAAAACTTGTATTTATACTTTTAATGGATGTCAGTGTCAAAAGCATTGAAAGTAAAGGGCAAAATGAGAATCTGAGGACTCTTCTACTCTATTTTTCCATGTAGATGGATTTGCAATACACATTTTTTAACAAATACAAAAGACCTTGCTGGCCTGAGCATATTTTGCAAGCAGTGTTGAATTTACAATGGTTTTCAAAGTGTGGTTCAGTAACAGTGCAAACAGACTCTATAACTTCTTTCTATGCATGTACATCTTATAGAAATGAGAGCCTTTACCTGCTTTTGTCTTAAAATGACCCTCTGCTATTCAGTGGTTATGCTCTATTAACTATAATGCTTTGCAAAGCCCTTGAGTGAAATTCCTTTTCTATGGCTCAATGAAATGATGAAGGATACTGTATAACCATTTGCCATCAACCTTAAATCTTCCTTGCACTATGTATCCTTTGTCTCGATTTTTCTATTGCTTGAGTTTAAGTTGCTCAGAACTTTAACCAATTGGCCTCCACAATGCTCTTTGTGAAACTGGCTTTACTGAGCCTCATATGAGCGATTCAGCAGAGCCAAAATTTTAACCACGGCCAGACTCCGGACAGGCAAGTCAGGTCTCTGTGTTAAATTGGACGAAATTTGGGAGCGGCTTGTGAAATCGGGTGTAAAATCCTTTCGATGGGTTTGGAGAGAGAGCCCAGAATACAAGCACGGTTTTAGCCCTGTGTTTTCAGTCATGGATGGACACCGGCCCAATTCGGTCCACCAATCCTAGAATGTGCAGAAGGAAGACTAATATCCAGCTGCTTGGAGGGCCGTGTGGTTGCGCTTGACTCTTCATTCTCACTTTCCTTCTGAAGCTGTGCCAACAGAGCACAATCTTTTTTTCATCTTGTTCAGTCGGAAAGCGATCTATTTTTATTAGTCGATATAAGTATGTAAAGAGTGGTTCTGGCACATGTACATTTATAATTAATGAGAGTAATTAAATATTAAATAATATATTGTAGTATTATGAATTTTATAATGTATACCCTGAAATAACAATCCAATGAATTAAAACAAATTTAAAGGCACATAAAAGGTGGTAAAAATAATATATGTTTAAAATAATTATATTTTGTTCTGCTATTTATGTTAAACATTTAATGCAACTTCATAAATGCATGCATGTCTCTCTAAAGAAAGTGACACTTGCAATATGGAACAAGGTGAGAATGTGAGAATGGCACAGTCTGGTTGTTGATAGAATGCCTGGAGACCCAATTAAAGGGGCTAACAGCTAGGATAAACAATATTCATTTTCCCACTTGAGATCTCAAAACTATTCCAATACAAAACAACAACAACAACAACAGAAAACCTTCCAGTCCACACAGGTTTTTTTTATTTTATTCTTTAAAATTTAATCTAATTTAATCTGTCAGCATTTTATGTTCCAAAAAAGCCCTCTCACATCTTTTGTCATGTCAAATTGACCTTCTAGCTATATTACAGCTCAAGAGTAGTGTTGATGCAACATTCCACATTCAGCCAGAAGAAGTTAGTGTTGATTGGCATAGCTTCTGTAATGTTTTACAAGGAACAAACATAAGTAGATGCAAGGAAAGCTGAAATTCTAAAACACTCATGACTCATGAAATGTAACCTCAGTTGTTCATATATGACTAAAGGTATGGTGTACACGGCTTAGTAAAATGCTACAATTTTAAAAAGAAAGCAACAAAAATAAACTGTTTATTCAACAAACATCACTCAACACATTTTTGTGTGATATGATTCTTTTATGATTTTTATTTTTAATACGATTACAATTTATGCTATATGATTCATTATAACCATTGGTTTTAGCACTCCTGCCCCCTTACATAAATATTTTTTATATAATAGTATAATTTAATATTCAATTATTATCAATGGTTCTTATTATAATCAATGTTGAAATCATTTGAAATCATTTTATTTAATTTTTTTTGCAAACTATGATACAATTTTGCAGGGTTCTTCGATGAATAGAAAGTTCAAACTAACAGTATTTATTTGGAATTACATTTTTTGTAGCATCAGTTTAATGTGTCCTTGCTGAATAATAGAATCAATTTATCTCTCTCTCTATTTCGCTCTCTTATTGTACTTACCTCAAACTTTCCACAAAAAAATATTAAGCAGCACACCTGTTTTCAACAATGATAATAATAAATATTTTGAATGCCAAATCAGCCTATTAGAATGGTTTCTGAAGGATTCTATGACCCTTGAGTAATAATGCTGAAAATTCAGCTTTGCCTCACAGGAATAAATTACATTTATACTATATATATTCAATCAGAAAACAGTTGTTTTAATATGTAATCATATTATAGTGTTTGATCAAATAAGCCTTGTTGAGCATAAGAACCTTCTTTCAAAAACATCCAAAATCTTAATTATTCCAAACTTTTAGCCACCAGTATATTAAATATTAATTGAAATAATATGTGGGCATGCGAGAGCTTCCTATTATAACCCAGTTTGTGTGCGTTAATAACTCTCATAAATATGACAAATCTAGGTCTATACACTGTCCCAATTTGTGCAAACTTTGCAGATCCAGCAGAAGCATTACAATCCTCCTCATTAATTATTTTACTTTTTTAACATGTGTGAATGTTACAAATCAAATTCAGATTCCAATTATGTCGTTTAAAACCCATTATCACGATCACAAATCAAATTATAACTGTGACAATTATACTTGTACTACAAGACAGTAGCTCTTCACCCCTGTAGCTCATTCCTAATTGGTTAAATTGACGGTGTTACACCTCACCCAGTGTTACAACATCCCTGATGTCCCCTGAACAACATGCACAGCATTTTCAATTAAACAATTTAACAGTAGTAAATTATGATTACAGGAGCCTAATTAATACCGGACAGACAACACTGTTGTCGAAAGTGTAACCAAAAATCCCAACTGACAGAAAGTTATCAATCAGCGTGATCAACTGAGCATCCAGGCTCGTCTGTAGCCTATATCGGTAAGGCGTCTCCATGTGTCAATCTGAAGTGGGCGGGACCCGCGTCTGCTGCGGCGCTCTGGAGAGGCAGAGACTCAGGCAGGGGCTGAAGTGCCACTTTCTCAGCATTGTCAGTGCGGGCAGCATCGTCTCCCAGCCCGGTTACAGTAACTGCTGCAGGCGACATATCCTCCGGATCGGGACAGGAGATTCAGGTTTGCTCCATCCATGCGATCCGAGCCCGACTGAGAGCGCACCATCCACCTGGATAAGCGGCATCGGCATCAGCATCAGTGCAGGGAGAACGCGGACGCAAGCATCTCCACGAGAATATGATGCTCCAACAGCACTTGCTTTTTGTGCTCTACAGCTTCTGTGGGATTGTCATTAAAGGTAAGGACCCTGGGATGTGTGGCCACAGTGTGATGCCCTCTGGGTGTGGTGGGAGTTGGCAGGGTGAACGGAAATGCCAGTGTGATTTAAGCACACATTATCATAAGCCCCGTGCTCAATTACATCAGGGATAATATTTCATAAGTAGCTCGCGCTTTTGGACAGGTCATATACAGTACGTGTGTTTGGTGGCATGATGATGACAGTGCAGATTTGAGTTCAGCGCACATTCTTTTACACCCGCGTGGGAAGTTGTGTGTGGTTCATTTCAATGATGTTTGCGACCCATCATCTATCAGATTAGCGACTTCAGACGCAGAACGATTAAGTGAGCATGTGCTCGTTCCAAATTGATTCGTATGGTTCGCGTACGCAGCACAACAATTCAATTACGCGCAGTTTTGCACACTGATTTTACAGTGAGCAAATTAAAATGTACGCGTCTTATGATTTGTGTTTATTAAATAGCCAACTTTGGGAACACCGAGTCAGTAACGACCTTCTTATTCTCAATTGATTCATATGGTTCTGCTATCTGCAATGTTATCCCAGTTACGCGCAGGTGTGTTCAATGATCAGGATGTGATTTGACCGCGCAAAACAAGTTGAAGTTGACTCGTTACGGGTGATGGATGCTTAATGCAAGCTCTTTTTTGAATATTAGTTGGCCAGCACTGGTTTAAGTCGGACGTACGCACGTTCCAAGCGCATCGCGCTCGGGCATTTGCAAGATTCTACATCTTGGGGTCGTCGTAGCATAAGATTTTCTCTTCGAGACGCGCAGTGTGCAAGTAAAGGCTGGAGATGTACAGCTTATGCATTTATCTACAGTAGCGATAACAGAGTGTGTTAGACTGTGTAGTGTACAGATAGCAGGGATGTCTCAGGACGGACAGATGTGCATGGAGCTCCGGCGGTCAGACTGCAGCGAGTCGGTGCGCACTGCTGTCCCAATTTGACTCTCACTGAATCCCACAGACGGATCGCGCGCCGCCGCGCCCCACGGGTCACGGATCTCACAATACTCTGTTAACACTTACACACCTTTGTGTTTGTGTTTTTTTTGTTTGTTTGTTTCTATAAGTTCCGCACGAGATGCAAAAGAATGTGCGCGTAAATAAAATAAATAATAACCATTCACGATGTACTATAGCCTACTGCCACTGCAAAAAAATGACTCACTGCTGTTGGACTTTTATTGACTCGCAGTCCATATATATTATGTCTGCCTAGAGAGCTACAGCTGGTTTCTGCATAAAGAGTCAATATTATTATATGTTACAATATTAATATTGATTATTGATGCGGTATATGTCTCAGTAGATATACAGTATATATTGTGTGTAACAACACAATGTAGAGGAGACCGGGAGAATGTTCTAACACATATTGCTTTGTTGTTGTTGCTGTTTTGCAATAAATGCTCAAATTTTGAAATATAATTTTCATATTTGTCTACTGTTTTATAAGCTACTGCTTGTTTCTAAACTATGTCATAATATAAAGTGCTGATGTTACAAGCTCCTCCACTGCCTTTGGTGATTGTGAGTTGTAACAGCAGGTGGGGTGAGTTGTTACACGATTTGAAAACATGAACATGTCACACATTTTTATTATTAATTTACTGTGGTAATCACATAAGTTTGTTGAAAAGTAACTATTATGTCCCATTTCATTGTAATTAATTATGAATATAAACATAACATTTTAACAGTTTAATTCAAAACAGCAAATAAAACAGATGAACATATTGAAGACAACATTGAAAAAAACATACATTTATTTCTACACAAGCTTTATTCATGACATCTGTCAATATATAAACAGTGAGCAAGAAAAAAAAACACGTTGATATGAAAATATATATTTAAATGGCAAATGGATGCGGAGTTGATCTGTGCTTGTTTTTTTTTCTTGATGTAAACCCCTTTCTGCTGTTGTTACATTCAGACAGGAACACTGCAAATATTTTGTAACATTATTACTAAATTGGACAAAAAAACAACAACAATGCAACAACAAGTAACGCTTACACTTTATTTTAAGGTGCCCTTGTTAATTATACATTTAAGTACTAAGCAATATTAAGTAACAACATGTAATTACTATAGGTTAAGGATTAGGGTTTGGTTAAAGGTTTGATGCATGCAATTATGCATAATTTACTGTTATTACTCTAGTAAGTACATTGTAAATTGTACTGTAGTGTTATACAAGTAACTTTTGAAAGAGAGATTTCGCAGTGTGCTTCTATACTCTTCAAAGCCCCCACACTCACGGTTCAGAGATGGATTGTGGGTATGTAGATGTCGGCATATGTTAGGTTTGGCACTGTCTGTGCTGACTACAGATCTCTATAATTATTCCTGGAACTCGGTGTGGATCAAAACCAATGATCGATTTTTTTCTTGATATAGGTTCTCAGGTGTTTTTAAATTCTCTCCGGTTGCGTTCCCTCGCCGATGGTCGTAAATATGTGGCTGTAAGGAAAAGGTCACGTGATATGTGTGTGTGTGTGTGTGTGTGTGTGTGTGTGTATATATATATATATATATATATATATATATATATATATATAGTTTTTTCAACTTGTAGATGAAAAGCTTGTGTGGATTAAAGCTGCTGATTTCAGATGATTCTTGTCTGTAATTTATTTTGCGTAATATTGCGTAGTGCACACCATACACAAGCACAAGATTATAACAAACTGACTAAAGGTGCAAGCAATTGCATTAAATAACAATGTACACTGTGTAAGTGTTGCCTTAAAGAGCCATTTCTACCTGTTTTAACGCATTAAAGCTTGGTGTATAAATTAATATATTTAGGTTGATTCAGCAATATGAAATAATATTTTTGAAATAAACCAGTTAAGGCCCGTTCACACCAAGCACGATAACTATAAAGATAACGATAAAGCTATAGTTCTAAATTCTTTCTCAATATTAAATAATAGAGTGTAGAGTCCACACTACACAACTATAACGATAAACGCACAGAGAAACAATATCGTTGGAATCATTTTCAGAACGATTTTTTCCAGCTGATGAACGATACAAACATTGACAGCCAATCAGAATCCATTCTGCTATAATGAGCTTGAGAATTTAAAGCAGCAGATGTGTATGCGCTTAGAATAAACAGACGATATCGTTCGCTGGTGTGGACGCTAATATCGTTAACTTTATAGTTATCGTTCTTGGTGTGAATGGGCCTTTACTTAAGATGTTACCATCTTTATCAGTGATAGGACATTGCAGGTCACAGAATTAAATACAATTTTGAGATTTAGTGTATTATAATGTGGACACATAGATATGTTTTAGTGATGTAAACAGTGCATTTCAAGCAATCAAGAATTTTTTTTTTATTTAGAGAAAAGGGTTGGTTTTTATTTCTTAGTCTCTTGAGGTTTATGTAAGACAGTTAAGTCGCTCTTTCTTTCTTCTGTTGGTTATATACAGTCGACTTGCTGCTTGCTTGACTTGTGAAGTTAAATGCTTTACCAGAACCTTTCCGGTTTAATGTGTGTCACATTCAAAATGGTGACTCTGAAAAGTATTTTAATAATTTATATCCCAAGGATCCCTGCCATAAGCTGTCAGGTTTTTTTCTTCTTCAGCAGCTTGATTCTTATCCCTTCTTAAAATGTGAACCAATGACTGTGCTGTAGCTCAAGCTCACAGTCTGAGTGCCTCCAGTGAAGTTACACACTCAGCTGATTTATCAATTTGATGGAAAGATTTCCTTATAAGACTTGATAAGAAGTGACAGATAATCTGTGGCTGAAGGGTCACATTCATGCAGGGATGCTTCAATACTGAGTCATTGTTCTCTGGTGATTTTTTATGTCTGCTCTCTTGCTATAAAACAATTAAATCAAGACCATCAGCAGGGGTTAGAAAGAGAAACCATCTCATTAAACTACTGCTGATTATCAAGGAATGTATCCTAGATATGTATTATGTTGAACTCAAAATGGAAATTCATGGAAGATTGCACTTTAGATACCACCGTTTTTGAATGACAGAACCACAATATGTGTCTTATTGTGCCCATTTTGACCCCATGGTCTCCCATAGTCCAAAAATCTCTATTTCACGTGTTTACACCTACATATAATCAGATTGAGGAAAATAGGAAGCATATTTGGCGTGTTGTTCTGAAGGAGGGCTCCGAGCTCAGAATATAGCCCGAACCCAGAGAACTCCCCATCCCTGATCTGGGATGATAATAGTGAGGAGTTAGAGTGAGGAGTTGGGGAGGAGGAGGGATGTCGTGGAACAGAGTATAAATATATATTTATTCTGGTACGTCAGCTGTAATAATAATAAAGCTGCTTATAAACTGTTGCATTTACAAAAACTTGGATTGTCAACAGAATAAAAAAAAAAAAACAAGCCACATAAGAAAAAAAAGTCATCAAACTGGTAAATAAAAGGTAGGCCTATAAACTATGACATCCAAAGTCCTAATTATGAGATAGTCAATATGATGACATACTAAGTCATAATTATGAAATATAGGTTCAAAATTATTAGATAAAATTATGAGTCATGAAATGTCATGACATTTTTATACCATAATTTCATAATGACAGGTCACATTAGCTAGCATCAGCTGACTCTCAGCTGATCCACATCTACCTACAGGGTGCGACACCTATCACAGCACTCTTATATAAGGTCCTTTAGTATTATCACCAGCTTCGCATTGCTCAATAGCTAATTACCCTCCTCCATCCCCAGCTCCTCCTTCTTGTCAGTCAGGATTCAGCATTCTGATTCTCCTTTGAATCAGACTAATTTCAAAATGTTACATTCAATTATTGAACCTAATGATACCTGCAATACATTTATGTTGGTTTTGTTCTGTTACACTGGGGGGTTATTGCTGCTCTCCCTGCTCTTATCCATGCTAGGCTGCATGGATGGACAGGGAGTTCTTGCCCAGAACAGAACCATACCGCCAATCCAAAATGTATGCTAATTGTCAGTCAT